TTACACATGTGATAACTTCGGTGATGAAGCACATTAATCACCACATTATTTCTCCAGAAGAAAAACAGATTGATAATGACCGATGCACTTGGCCTTTCATCAGCTTTCATGATGCAGACTTAATTTTACTTACTTTTTAAACATTATCCAAACATACATTAACTTTTTTTATTTTAATTTGTTTAATAAAATATAGAAATTGAATCATAGTATTTAGTGTGAGTAGGCTGTGAACTATCAAATTAGAGAGACAGTTAACCAAAATATTCAGACAACTTGAAGAGTAAGAATTACCTATAAATTGAATTTTAAAGGACTGAAAGTGACTTTAATATATATATTAAAGTTCATAAAACTGATATCAACTGATACTACCAACAGCCAAACTCTAAGAATTTAGGCACTTTAAACAAATAAGAGTTAAATTTTCTTATCAATAGGAAGAAAATTGTCAAATTAATCTCATTAGAAGTACATATCAAACTATGGATAAACTGCCACTTAATTTTGGAAATCATAGTTTAAAGCAATTCTTGGCAATACTGTTCAACTTAGCCTTGGACAAGTTCGATAAGAACGAGGTCAAGCGAAGATGGAGGGGTGCACATTGGAATAAAACCTAAAACCCTAGCATATGTGGATGATATAGCTGTCCTCAAAAGCAATCAAGAGTGTATTTAGAGACCCATATCCACATATAACATATCGAACCTTACAACAGGGTCTGGCTGGTTGCCAAGTCCTGAAGTAGACTGATTCAAACACCTGGCTCCACAATAACTTCAACAACTGATCAACTAACTGAGATAGACCAGCATGTATCAGAACAAACTGAACTTCCTTCTCTATTTCAAAAGTACTAAATTTCTGAAATATCTATAGAAATCTCCATTTAAGGGTGTACATTGACTTGATAAATCCAGTTCTACTATATGTGAAACCTTGGCTCTAACTGCCACCCTAGAATGCAGAATAAAAAGATTTGAAAGAAAATTCCTCTGCACGATAACTGGAATAATTTGGGGTTAGAGCCTTAAAACATGGAGAAAAAAAACCAATAAAGAACTGTTAAAAGAATCAGGTCCGACAATATCTCATGGTATGAAAGCAAGGAGGATAAGATGGATGGAACATGTTGTTCAGAGCAATTCCCAGTTGTAAGCAGAGGTGGATAAGGCTACTTTTGGCGACCAAAGATCTACAAGGATTGAAGAGCCTCCCCCCTCCCCCCCAAAAAAAAAAATAGTAGATCTAGAGTTTATAAATATTAGTTAGAAATAATAAATCAAACAGCCATGAATTTCTTTGAAAGTAATTAATACAAACAAAGTAGCTGTGGAAAGTGCAATGGAAACGTTGAAGATGTGAGCCAGAAGATTTGAAAAAAAACAATTTTCAGATCATATTGAAAGTATTAGAAGGGCTAAGAAAGAATAACATTGCTGTATCACAACAAAGGAATTTAATGCAATTGAATAAGAATAAATTATCTTAAATAGAGAGTACTGGTATTGGTACTGGTTGGGGGAACTAGTCCGGCAAGTGGGCCTATCGTTGTCCTTTTTGCCACACTTTTGCTCTTTGCCAACCCCTTACGGCTATCTTGAAGTTGCTGCGGAGTACTTATCAGAGTGGAAATGTCACGATCCATTTCCCCTGACTGCCAAGATATGAAAGGTAACCAACCCAGGTGGGAACCGAACCCACAACGTTCAGAACCGGGCACTCTGGGACCCACACTCCAGCATGCTCGGCCATCCCGTCCTCATAAATATAGAGTAAAAGACCAAGACCAGATCTGGTGCAGCTTGGAAGAAGAAACTGCAATAAAAAATATTTGCCTCCACTTTACGCAAGGAACTATTGTTTATTGTATTAGCATCAAAGCTTTGAGTTCATTAATATGTTTATATTATTACTGATTAGGAAATATTTATTAGTGGCTATAAATCTTGTTTATAAATTGATAAATGATTATTTATTAATACTGAATAAGTGGTCCATATTTATTGAACAACCTATGTATTTCATCTATATAACTGTCCATGACCTGAACTAACCTATCAACTATGATTAATAAAATTATATCAACCTTGGAAATCACAACATCAATTATAATCATTATTGGTTTTGGAGTATAATGAATCTGGATGAGAAGAAGAGTAAGCAATTTAACTATGAAATCCTATCAACATCATAAGTGAAGAGCATAAATCATATTAGACAGACGTAGAAACCTCATTGTCAAACCTATATCAACAAATGGAAAATGTGCTGAGATAAACCAGCATTATAACAAGTGTAAAGTAGACCTGGGCAGAATTTATTTGAAATAATATTTCTGAAATAAATTGGTAAATAACCTTCCTCCTTTATTTCAGAAATAATTTACTTCATGAAATAACTTGAGCATTATTTCTGAAATAAATAATGATTATTTCAGAAACAATGTTCTGAAAGAATCATTCTGATAGGTGCTAAAGGGAATGAAATAACCATAATAAAAATTCGATTGTTCACTCTGAAATTTAGTTTTTATTTATGCCCCTGTTTTGTTTTCTACAATTAGGACTTGAAGCATTATATATAGCTGACGCTTTAACTTTTTTAGAGGCTGAGTGTGCCCCAAAACAATTTCATTTTTTTTTTAATGCACTTTTTTGTTTTTTACAATTAGACTGAGCTGACGAATTATATTCACTGCTGTTTGAGACACTTTAGTCTCTATAGAGGCTGTGTGTGCCCAACAGAAATTTCATTTTTTCTTATGTTCCCTTTTATTCTCTGCAATTAGATGGACTTGAGTCATTATATTTACTGCTGTTTGAAACACTTTAGTCTCTATAGAGGCTGAGAGTGCTCAACAGAAATTTCATTTTTTCTTATGTTCCCTTTTCGTTTTTTACAATTAAACGGACTTAAGGCATTATATTTACTGCTGTCAAAGGCACTTTAGGTTCCTTTCACACTGAAGATGCATGCGTCCTGGATGCAGGATGCATGTGCGTCTTGCATCTTCTATTTATATCCATTATTTCTGTTAGTTTAGTACATGAGTTTGAAAAATGAATAATCCATCATTCGACTCTTCAGGCAACAAAATTATAATTCTGGCTTGTACAATAAGAAGAATTTTCTTTGTTTCTCTACTCCTCTTAAGGATCAAATCCGTCTAACTACAAAAAAATCTAAAGAGGGCATAAAAAAAAAAAAAAAAAAAAAAAAACGAAACAGTAATCAGGCACACTCAGCCTCTACAAAGATTAAAGTGCCTCCAACAGCAGTAAATATAATTCTTCAACTCTGTCTAATTGTAAAAAACGAAAAGGGGCACAAAAAAAATGAAATTTCTGTCGGGCATACTCAGCCTCTACTAAGATTAAAGTGTCTCAAAGAGCATTAAATATAATTACTCAAGTCCATCTAATTGCAAAAAACGAAAAAGTGCATTAAAAAAATGAAATTGTTGTCGGGCATACTCAGCCTCTACAAAAGTTAAAGTATTTCAAACTGGAGTGTATATAACATCTCAAGTCCATCTAACTGTAAAAAACGAGAAAGATCATAAGAAAAATGAAATTTCTGTTGGGCACACCCAGCCTCTAAAAAGGATAAAGTGCCTCAAACAGGAGAAAACAGATTAAGTAAATATAATATGAAGGTGGTCGGGCACACTCAGCCCTTTTGAGTTGGATACCTGTAGGTATTGGGCAAAATATGCACACTATACACACTATGCACCGGCGGATTGGAGGTTGAATTGACAGGGTTTATACTATTTATTTAAATATTATATATTTGTTAAATTGGTGGATTTTTATGTTTTTCAGTTCAGAGGTATTTCGGAAATAATTATTTCATGCTTTTTGTAATAATTTATTTATGAAATAAGTAAATTGGTGGATTTTTATGTTTTTCAGTTCAGAGGTATTTCAGAAATAATTATTTCATGCTTTTTGTAATAATTTATTTATGAAATAAGTAAATCTGAAATAATTATTTCTGGAATAATTCATTTCGAAATAAATTTCTTTATTTCAATGAAATTATTATATCTGAAATAAATTTAATAGTTGCTTCATCGAGATTATTTCATTGGCGATTTGAAATATTATTTCAGAAATAACTATTATTTCGGAAATAATCATATGATTTATTTCAGAAATAAATTATTTCAAGAGTGCCCAAGTCTAGTGTAAAGTAAGCCCTCTTTTTGCTCTGACAAAACTCAAGCTGAAGATTTGGTTTTATGTGGTAGTGAAACTACCACTCTTGCAGACGAAACGTGATCAAGAGGTTTGAAAATAATGTTTTCTAAATAATAACTAGAATAATTATGGATCAAAGCTTACAAATATGGAGGAACTTGAAAAATGTGAAATCACTAAAGAAAACTCAGTCAGTCAGTATTATCTCAAGTTATGATACAGCTAGGTAAAGATGGTCATTGTATTTACCTAGATGTATATGATATTACATCAATACAACCATCAATGCCATGCTAGATCTACAACAAGACAGATGGGCAGAATAAAACAAAAACCAAAGAGCTTCATGCAACCAAATGGGAAAGAAATCCCAAAAACTGAAGTGCAGCATATTTTTCAAGAATAACAAATATTTCACTTTTGTAAACTTATGTAAAAATGGGGAAGGCTTAATAGTTTAAAAAAAAGGTACAAATTTATAATTTTTCTATTATTTCGTTATTTTTAATGTTCATAACTTTTAGTGTTTATTTTTAAGGCTGTGAAGTCCATTCAATCATCTTAACCTTGCTCAGCTATTTGCTTGTAAGTGGATGTCTCACATGAGTAACATCTCTGGTACCAAAGATGAAGAGTTATCTGGTGCATATATCCAAACGATAAAAATACGGAAAATGACCTTTTTTACTCTCAAAATTAAAATTTTCTATTTTATTTTAAGTTATATTTTTTAATTGAATGAGAATTGATAATTTTGGTTAATTATTTATTTTTTATATTTAATACTCAAAGGTTAACCTGAAAGTTGACTGTTCTGGAGGAGACGGAAGACCATCAATACCAAGAGATAGCATTGGTTCTGCATCTGGTCTTGAACCGGCTATGCATGCCACAATGTTTGCCTTTACACATTTTGCTCACATCCTCCGAACAAGGTCAAAGGAAAGCATTCGTTCAGGAGAAAGCTCAGAAGGAAGATTAAGTCCTAGTGGTATGACAACATTTTAACTTTTATTGATTATAATGAAAAATAAAGCCAAAATGACCATAATTATTTCTAAGTGTGGCAACAGATATTTCTTAATTATTTATTTTTGTTTTTAATTTCAATAGTAATATAAAAAAAAATTATGATAATATGATATATCTTTTAACAAATATTTAATAACTTTTTTTTCTTTACAGATAATCAGTTCCGTTTTTTCTACCCAAAAAAGCACCGCTTTTCAAGTGTACGAAGCAATAAGCAAAGGTCCAAATCCCATACTAATATTACTAAAGTAAGGCTCTAGTAAATATGTTATTTTAATTATTTAATATTTGTTTGTTGTCCTTCCAATGCCATAAATATTACAATTATCCATTATACTGCTCTTTAGGGTGTGAAATGATATCACTTACATTAAAGGAAAAATGATGTATTAATGTCTTCTAAAATAGAGTATTTCATAGATCATTTGTCGGAAATAACGTAAAGCCCAATGGAGAATTAACAAGGTTTCACAGTATAGAATTGTACAGCATGAATACTGTAAATTTAATTGAATTAACTGGTTCATGGTGGTTGAAATGAGCAGTTTAAATTGTGGAACTTAATAATGAACCATTACTTTAAAAAGTTAAATTTAGCATCCAAAATGTATTTGAGAAGGTAGTCTTATGCAGTTTGGTGTTTTGAGAGGTGCCAATGATGATATGCAGGAAGCAATTCTAGGTGGTATTAGCATCATACAGTAGGGTTCACTTAGTCATTTATTGTTATTATTTGTTTTGAATTTTGGGTTAGTTTAATATGACATCATGATTCATATTATGGATGAATGGTTTATTTAGAAGTAATAGGAGTGTATGATACACTATGTTTCACTTTCTCAAGAACTTACACTTCCACTCAAGTAATTATAGCTTCATAGGATTGATATTAATCTGTGCTGAAGACCTTGATACTCAGGAAAGATACATAGAGTACTCATTCTCAAGGAGCATAGGCTTGATTTCCACATAAGTCGATTGCTATTTATTTTTTATACATCTCATGGAATGAGTCTTGAAATTATTACTAAGTTTGTAAACTGGTAACAACCTCCAGACAGCTAACAGACAATAAGGAAGGTTGAGTTGACTATATTCATGAATGGCCAATAATAGAGTCAGCATCAAAAACTATATAAATAAACTAAAATAATTTTAATCCATAAACATTTGTTTTAAATACTCACCTCTTTGATGTTTTCTTTTGATTAAATGTTAAATTTTCTAATATATGTATACAATTTTTTGTTTAAATTTATTTTTTAATATTTCTACAACTTTTTACCTGATATTCACGAGTATAATAATGAAAAAAAAAATATATCAATCAAAGTTAATTTCATATGAAATTTTAATACTTACAATTTATTCAATATAATTCTGAAATTACTGCTAAATTTTACTTCATGAGTCTTGCCTTTTCACTAAAACCTATATTATTAATCTAAATTACAACTTACCATTTGTTATTATATTGAGGAAGGAGATGGTCCAGACATAAAAAAAAAATCTGCCAAGTAAGGCCAGTATAGCTTTCTCACTGTTTTCATTGTATATTACAAGGCATGCAATTTTTCGTAGGAGAATAAAATCTCTGGAAGAAGCCGTTCAGAAATACAGTTACCCTTCAGCATTCAACAGAAGATTCCATTGATTGAAGATTCCATATTTGATTGTCTTAATAAAAAAAAAATAAATAAAATGCATACTGAACATGAATTTCAATACTGTTAGTGCAAAAGGTCTTATATAAAAATTTATTGTATTACAAGAGTGCACAAAAACTCATTATTTCTTTATTCTTTATTAGTATAATTTCATATTTTATTGTAATCTGCTATTTTCCAAAGTAGCAGACTACTTATATCAGTTGCAGACTACAAAATGTCACCTTTAATACAAATATTATAAAAGTTGAAAAATTTTACATATGACATTTTGCACTAATAGTAGTGATATACACAACTGTATACCTACAGCCTACTACTATATATCTACAGCCCGAAAGATTTTTTTTTCAAATTTAAAAAAAAAAAGTCTGCAAATTATTTCACAATGGTTTATTATTTCCAAACAATTATACATCTAAAGTAACATTACCTTCCTAGTTATAAATAAAAATAAATAAAATGAAATTCCAATTATTGGACTACTTTTTTTTGATCATTAGTAATATGCTAAAAAAATAGCGTTACTTCAGTAACACATACAAAATTTAAAAAACAAAACAAAAGGTATATATATATATATATATATATATATATATATATATATATATATATATATATATATATATATATATCATTATGTCTGACAAATAATAACAATATAACCAATTTGAAACTTCAGAAGTTCTTTCTTGGTATCTATATCAACTGTATGAGTTTCTACCAGAACTTCTGTTGTTACTAACTTTTCTTCAAGGGTTTCTTTATCTTTTCTTAAGAGATTTCCTGATCCAATATCAATTGAAGAATTAATTTTGTTAAGCTCTTCAGTAACAGTTTGCTTCTCATCACTTTCTGTGTGACCAAAGGTAGTTTTCTCAGCCAGTTTAGTTTCTTGAACTTCAGTTATATTTGCAATAATTTGGTTTTCTAGGTTATCACAATCTTGTTTCAAACTTTCCTGTTTATTGTTAGATTCTAATGTTTTGTTTAAATGATCAAAATTTTTCTCTAAAATATGAAGCATAGCCATTATTATACAAACATACAAACATATTATTAGTATCAGTACAATTCAAATTGTTGCTACTACTTATATTTATTTTTTCACCCTCCACATTATTATCACTAAACTCATGAACTACATTTAATCCTGACAGACTTTCACTCTCTATGCAACTACTGCTAGAGTTTTCGCATTGTCTATTTTCATTAAGTATGCTTTGTAAAACTGACTCTGCCTTATTTTCTACAATAACAAAATCCCCATTAGATTTCCCAAGATTTATATTATTAATATCTCTACCTTCCATGATCTCTATCTGGTTATTCTCCATATTGCTCAAAAAATTATTAATAAGAAACTTTACAATTTGAACAAATTGTTTATTCGAGTTGTGATCTGATTGTCGTGACTTAATTTTTAAAGAATGAGCGCATAGTTGAGCGCCAAAATGTAACATCCTTCTTATATTTTACAAATAATAATAATGATATAACCTCGTGGCAGACCACTTTATACCCTAGTATAACTATGCACTTTAAGCACTAGTAGAACTAGATTAGCTTGCCTTTTAATTGTTCAACATTAATTTATTAAAACCTGTTTACTCACTTTCAATAAAGGTGTATATTACAATATATATATATGTATATATATATATATATATATATATATATATATATATATATATATATATATATATATATATAACCTTTGCAGTAGAACAACTAAAAAAAACAAGACCATATCTTTGCTTCTAATTGTCCGATTTTAACGATTTTTTTTTTTTTGTTTTTTAGGAAATTCCGTAAACTTTTAAAAACCATAACAATGTCAACAAAAAAGTGTATACTTTTTGAGTTATTAGGAATTTAATTTTACCATCCCTCGTAACTTTTTGCCAGCTTCTTTTCGTTGAAGTATGTTATATAGATAAATTAAAAGGGCGTAGAGAAAATGACTTTGGCGAAGTTTCATTGAAATCGGTACATTCGTTTAGCCGCTACAGTCTATAGCAACCAAACCAAATTGGATCCTTGATGTATGAAAAGTAAAATGCGAGTGGGTATTTTCGATTCTTAGCACAAATTTTTTTTTAACCTCTTGCATGAACACAATAATACTTCCCTACCTTCGGTAGTGAGGAAGAAAAACTTAAATAATGAAAATTATTTTATTTAAGTCTTAAATAAAAGACTTTTAAATAGGGCCTTAGGATTAAATAAGCTATTGTAATTTATTTTTATGACCGTCACCCCAGACCATCTCTTTCCTCAATAAAATACAATGGTCAACCATTGAGTATTCAACATATTATATTATGTTTGATTATTTTTCTCTTTGTTTTTTCAATCATTGTTTGTAATGAACAGGTACTACACCATGCAGATGTTGCACGGTGGGAAACACCAGAATCTGAAATTCTGGCTTTTCAAAAACAGCTTCAGAATCTTCCAGATTTTGATTCCTTAGAAGGTGGCGGAAGTGACGATAGTAAACCGACTCTGAGACCAAGATCAAGATCTATGCCAAAAGTCACTTATGAAGGATCACGCTTCCTTACACTTCCCGAGGTTGGTTGGGCAAGACTACCAAGGGGTCGCAGCGCTGGGGCACTTGGTGGTCATGAACCCAATCCAACACCACAAGCAATGGTTAGTATTGAAAATTGTTACTGTTAAAATATATAATATCAAATAAAGATGATGATAATTTAAATAATTTTAGGCAAAACCATGGCTGTAGACAAATCTATACTATTAAAAAGAAAGGAATAATTTATCAGACAAATTTTAGATGCCAAACAAAATCACTAATATATCTTTGAAATCATTGACTGTTAAAATTACTAAAATAAATTTGTTTCTTCTAATTTGAATCTAATAATTCAATTCTGATTCACTCAATTGTTCTCGAATCACCTCTTTCCAGTAATGACTACCAAGGGATTGTCCAACTCAAGGGATTTTCTACCAATAATGTAGTTCAGCACTGTTAACCACACCTACCAATAAGAATGTTTTTTCCCACAAAGAACCAAAGTTTCTAACGATTCTGAACATTCTCCAACTTTCTTCACCGTTTTAAAAATTTAAAATGTATTTTCTAAGAGCAAGCTACCAATTGATAAAAAAAAAATTAATTTCTCTGGCTATTCTAGCTGCCAAAGCTATTGATAAAGTAAAAATAAATAATTTTTAAAAATATCAGTAAAATTTCATACCATACATTTTTGAACTAAGACTATAAGGATTTCAAAAAAGTTGTTTAATTTTGTCAACTTTCATATGAAATGTCTATCTTTGTAAGGATATTCCAATTTAGGAGAAATATTGTGGTTTGAAAGTATAAAAACATTAGATACCTGGAACAGTGTATGAACCTACTATTTTTTGTCCTGATATGCTTGGTCCGAAAATCTGAGCATAATATGCCCTCAACTAAGGATTTTTTCTTTGCTGGCTCCTATTTCTACTAAAAATCTAAACTAGTGTGCATTTTTTTTTTCTGTTCAACAGTGATATTTTTATTTTCTATTACTTCTTTATGTAGCTATTGTCATTCTTTTTCTTTTGTTAGAAACCATAAATTTGTGTGCTATATATTGATTACATTATATTATTATATTACATTATATTGATACACTTTTTCAATCTTGAAAAGTAATGTATTATTGTTGGAGGAGCAACAAAATGTATTCAAAATAATTGCATAGTATTCCATCCTCAATCTTTATGAACCATATCGGAAAACCTTGAAAAAAATACTGGTTTGTTACTTGTCAGCTTAGCTGCTGAGTTGGGTGTACTATTGGAAAGCTAATAAAGCATTTTTTTTTTAAATCCCTAAAATCTTAGCTTTAAAACTTATTGCATAAGGTTTTCTGAATTATTTCGGAAAATTATTCATTGCTGCTCATTTATGTTGGTTTGACTGCAATGATAGCCTGAAACAGCATTTTTTCTATGAATTCGTTACTGTCTGATAGAAAATTCATTGTAGATTATGAAACTGTTATTAAAGCTCGAACATGCCCATTCACATTATAAAAAGTTGAATTTTTATTTGGAAAACAAATTATTTTTTAGGAAAAAAAAATTAAAAAATCATTTATCCACAGAGATAAGAAGGTGTGGTTGGCAAAGAACTATATTTCCCTCTGAATCAATAACATTTCCATCTGAGACACCCTGCATAAAGACAGAATAAGGAAGATAAAACTCCATAAGGACAATTTTTTTTTTCAGGAATTTTCAGTCTTTATGAAATATTCTACCTGTAGTTAATATTATTTTAGTTTAAACTAAAACCTACTAAAACAAAATAAACAAATTCATAAATCAATTATTATTAACAAAACAGTTAACAACCTACATATTTTGGTATAAATGTACTTATTTACCAATGATAAAGAATAGTTTTTGATAATATTTATGTATAATTTTATTTTTTAAGTTGTGGATTATGTTAGGAAGCTTCTGATTAATTATTAATCTAATGTAATGGCTTTAAAACAATCAATTTCAAAAGTTGGTTCCTTTAAAATAATTTGTTTTATAATAATCTGTCCTTCTACTGACATAAAATTGATGACTGTTATCAAGCTTCACAGACCAGGATAAATACTGTTTGGAGTGTTAATGAAAGAAATGCTATATACAGTGCAATATTGTTAGTTTGAGAGAATTGCTAATAGGGAGAATAAATGTGGGCTGTGCTTCATTTGTGGTAAAATTCATATAAAAAAATCAATAGTTCATGAAACTTTAAAATGAGCATTTATAGTATTTGGAGTCCCAGGCTTCAATGGAACATTTTCTAGAAAAATCTTGAACTAAAATTTTACAAAGTCTGCCTGATATTTTTTTTTAAATATTAGCTCAAGAAACTAATTCATTTATTTCATTAATTTGCATGTTTTTTTAATTATATTTTCGTTTTGTTACTGTACAGTAACTGTCTATTAATAGTAAAACCAAGAAACTAATTAACATAACTACTCACTTATGAGTACTTTTTCTTAGTACTTCTTTGATGAGTCGCTGGCTGGTTTCCATGGAGATCATTTCCACAGCTCACTACTAATCCCATGTACAAAAACTGGTTGACGTTCTGGAACATGAATGGGCATATCACCACAGGCTGTTGATCCACTATCTTTGCTCCAAGTGAATAGGAGAAGTATCTTATAAATGATGTTAAAAAGAACCTCATGGGCGCACGATAGAAGAGAAATAACCCAGTAGTTGGAGCATTCTAGGATATTGCCTTTCTTGTGAAGTGGGTAGATAATGCCCCCTTCCACTATTCCGGCATTTTTTCCTCAATCCAGACTGTACGGATGACACATAAAGGGCTCTCAATAACTCCTCACCGCCATACTTCAGGAGCTGGCTGGAATCTGATCCTCACCTGGCGCTTTGTTGTTGTTAAGCTTACTCAAAGTATCCTCCATATCATCGTAAATTGGTGGATCAGGAATTTATGCATCTATTTTTACATTGTAATGCAAATTCTTAAAACATGGTTTAAGAATCTATCATAGAATTGTTTATTTCATGAGTGAGAAGAATTTAACTGCTGTGACCTATGTAAAATTATTCAGCTATTAACCGACAGTTACTGTACTGTATCATTTTTTAAAATTATTATTATTTTTAATACTATTTTTTTAATAACTTTCTGTTAATTATTTGCATGTCATGTCATATATATAAACTTTAATCATTTTTAACCATTTTTTTGCATGTTTTTTATCTTTATAAATTCAATGAAAATGAATTCATAATTTATATGCATTTAATAGATGTGTTAGCTATAAGAGAGCTAAAATAAATAATTATTAAATCGATTGTACAACCATCTATGAAAGGCCTACTGATCAGATAGTGCTTGAGATTCAATTCTGATTCACTACCTCACAAATATTCTTAGTAACTAAATTAATCTTCCATGCAGCATAGACCAAGACCATTTAAACCAGTCCCCAGAACACTGCATGTAGGGTATTGAAGACCAAAATCTCAAGTTCGGGAACCCCCATATTCTGAATAAGGAATCAAGAAACCCAATAGTTCGTAAGGACTTATTTTGGGAATAACCATAGTTGTACACTAGGGAGGCATATTCTCAGGATACTCAGTTTCAGGATTGTCACCCAACTATCAGTTCAATCCCTTAAATGTTCTCTCTCTGTTTTTATTTTCCCACATTTTGTGGTTTTCAACTGTTTTTAGCTGTAGATTCTCAGAAGTATATTTAACCCTTTCCTCTTATTAACATTTTTTATTACTTTTTATCTTATATATAAGTCAAAAGGCACTATCCTCCTCCAAGACCAACTATCAGTTTATGCAAAAACATTGGTTTAGAAGATAGAGAAGAAGTATGTTAGGAGAAAAATGTTACAAGTGATAAGAAGTCCGAACAGTGTCTCATAGTAACTCTCTTGGTTCCTAGGGTTGTTAACTAGTTCACTATGAAGTTTTTGTTTGCTCTTTCTTTTATTATTGATTCATATTCAATAGCAAGTGAATCAGCATCATCTTGGAGTAGTTATTTCACTTTTTCATTAATATTTTAAAACATTTAAGTAAATTGTAAATAACCTGTTAAGAGTTATTTGTAAATGACCTTTTTGGCGGCAATTGTGAATATTCCTTCCGTTTAGTCGGGGGACTAGGTTATTTACACTTGTGAATTTAATTTTCTTAAAACAAAACCCTGGCACTGGATATAGACTTTTGAGGGTGTTTAACTGTTGTTGGGATTTCGGGAACCTAATGCTTTTGTGACAAGAAATAATAAGAATATATAAACAGACAGGCAAAAAATTCCACCCACTTGATTTTTTTATGTTTTCATCTAAAAATATTTCTGCTTTGGATTGGTCTATTGTTTTTAATGAATAAATAGGTAATATTTTGTTTTCAATTAGAAATGTTAATATAGAAAAAAAAACCCTTAATCCTTAATACAATAAAATGATTCTAGATTCCAATGTTTCCAAGATTCCAAAACGAACCATTATTATTCTAAAAGAAATTAATTACATCATCGTTTAGTAGCGCATGTTTCCTCCTCTTGCCTTCACTACTTCTTGAAGACACCTTGGCATACTTTCCACCCGTCGGGAAATGTCCCTTTGCTGGAAGATAGCCAGCCCATTCCTCCCAAAGAGCCCTTCCAAGGTCCTGCAGTGTATCAGGAAGTGTTGCACGCGCTCTAAATCGTCTTCCAAGGTTATCCCATAAATGCTCAATGTGGTTCAAATCTGAAGAATCTGCTGGCCAAGGTAAAACCTCAATATTGTTTTATTGAAGGAATGTCTGCACTATGCGGACGACATGTGGACGAGCATTATCGTGCATTAGAATAGAATGATCGCTGATTTCGTTGAGAATAGGCAACACATGAGGTTCCAAAATCTCATCTACATAGTGAATGGCTGTTAAAGACCCTCCACGAACAACAACCAATTCTGTGCGGCACTCCATTGAAATCCCAGCCCACACCATTAAGGAACCACGTTGGAAAGGTTGGCTCTGGGAAAAATTACAGGCTGCATATCTTTCGTTTCTTCTTCTCCCCACCTTTTCACGCCCATCTGGAGATCGAAGAGCGAATCTTGACTCATCTGTAAAAAGTACAGCAC